CGACACTACTCCTATGTTGTTCTCCCACCTCGCCACCTGCTTTTTACACAAAATCCCCACTAAAATTTAAATACTGTGAAAGCATAACGCAAAAATAGTATCTACAACTTTATAAATTATTCATCACTTTTAAGTGAATCAGTGTCCTAGTGGTGTTGATTATTCTGCACTTTACCTCAGATGGGTTCTCGATGTTCCACGCATGTAAGGTTCCATCACCTGAACCTGTATCCGAAAAAGAAAACTAAGCTGATTAAATTTGAATATTGTGTAGATGAGTCATGATAAAAGATCATCTAGGAACGCGTATTACCTGACAGAACATACTTGCCATCTGGTGTGAAGGTGGCCTCTATGGGTGTACCCTGTGAAGGCTCCAAACTAAAACCACATTTCTGCAAAATAACATACCGTCTTTTACCAACTTGAAACCTAACGTTCTGTCTTCTTCAGGTGAAAGATAGAGAACGTGATTACCTTCTCTCCACAATATGCATCAAGAACGTAGATATTGTTATTTGTAGTCGTTAGGAGCATGGATTTCCCATCGTTGCTGAATTTTATATCGTTAACCTCAGCAGTATCCCCACCCACCAGAAATGTGTCAAAGGGACCCTACATAAGAGATCAATTGGGTTTAGAAGTTAGAACTAACAAGAGCAGTCATGCGTAAGGCTGTGTGAATCATTGTAAGAAGCTAACCTTGTCATAACACCTGGAATCAAATAATTTAACAGCACCTCCTTCCATTGCAATTGCAAACACAAGGCCTTGTTGGTCATACGCAACTGCAGGTCTACCACGTAGATGTAGAATTCCCTATTGACTAAAAGGGTAAGCATAGATCATGAAACCATATAAATTCACAGAGAGAGTATTAAGGTAAAGAGCCTAAATATTCTCAATGTTTCGTGGTTCCAGCATCTTCATCAAGTTTAACTTTCAAGGTGATATATCACGAGGTTTTTGCTAACAAAAAGAAAAAGGCACTTTTCTCATTAAAACTCTAGCATATTAAGACTTATTCCATCTAGCCTTCTCAGAGTGTAAAACTATAGAAACCAACCTGGCAGGCATTTACACGAAGATCCCAGAGTCTAACACTTCGGTCGAGAGAACCAGACATGAAGCTATCATTTATAGGAGACATACAAAGTGATACAACCCTGAAACAGAAGAACATTTTCCATCATCAATGTACATACTAGTAAAATCCAAATTCACAATTCCAGAGGTTATAAGCAGACCTGTCTTTATGCCCTTTAAAGTAGCGTAGGATCCGATTATCATACATTGAGAGATATCTCAAGGATTCTGGTACACAAAAACAAGTATACAAGTAAGTAATAATCCACCACCGCTTTGATTATCCAATCTCAAGCAAGAGAAAAGGAGGACTCACCACCAGTGGACTCCAAATTGTATCGAGAAGAGCAAATTAGAGAGCTAGGATGATGGGTAAAGCATACACGATCGGTGCCATGTTTCTTATGGTATGTAATCTTCAGCTGTCTAACAAACATCCATACAAATTGAATATTTCAGTCTTCTTTTTGCTCCACAAGAATTTCAACTAATCGGTTAATCAAAAAGCTTCTTCTTGATTCCTTAAGTAACCTAGTTTCTCTAGAACTTGACCAGATAAGTATAAAACCTAAAAACAGGAAGGAAGAACTGACTTAGCGTTGGCGATATCGAAGAGGCGAAGTGAATCATCTTCGCTGGATGTGACCAATAGATCATCAGTCCTATGGAAACCCACCGAATGTATCTTCCCTCCCTGTGTAAAACCAACACCGAGAAATTGAACGGATTAATCTCGGAAGCTGGATTCCACCAAAGTTTAATCCGAAATCAAATGAGATTACAAAAAGAGAAAAATTCGTTCGTACAAAATCAGAGAAGACTGCGCCCATGGCCATCCTGCGAACCAGTCCGTCGTCTAGCTCCGTCAACGACATCGTCAAGCTGGATTATCAGTGAAGCACGAGAAAAATCCGAGGACGAGAGAGAGAGAGGGGCAAGGGAACGAGAGAGAGAACTAAAGAGTTTAGTGGGTTTCGCGGGTTACTAAACGCCGCCGTTTAGTTTTAAGAATTGGGATAACAAAAGAAAAACATCTTGTCGTTCAGTTCTAGTCATAAAAACTACATGTCGTTTTGGATTAGGAAAGAGAGCCTGTACACTGCGACTTTGTTACACTCACTGGTCTGTGATTTTCTAAGAGTCAAATAGGCAAATGAATGAAACACAGAAAAAAATAAATGATCGAAGCTTCAAGTTTCAAACATACATGGAAAGCTTTGAAAAAATATTGAAGTCACAAATGAAACACCAAGGTAATCCAAAAGATATGTTCGAGGAAATCTGACATGAGAGATAAAAGACTATACAATGTCAGCCAAACCGGAATTAGAGACAACACAGCTAACGACCACCAAACCAACCTCTTGGCGGTTGCTGCTGCTGCTGCTGCATCATAGCTCCTCTATCTCCATTCATCAGCTTATCTAAAACAACATTGAGGTCAACAGCTTGACCGTTCTCTGTCAATGTTCTCACTGTTCCTCTCACTTGGTCCCTTGGGAACCCCATGCTAACCACTTTGTCAATGACATCATCGACTGGGGCTCTGTTTCCTGATCTTGGGGAATCTGAGCCACCACCACTTCCACCGCTGCTGATGGCTGATGCCATTGGTAAACCTTGTGGTAGTGGGCGTGCCATTGGGAGCTGTGGGTAGGCACCAGATCCACTTCCACTCTGATGTGTGGGTTTCACAGATGGGGTGTTTCCATACTGTGAAGGTGGCCCGGTATACGGGTATGATTCAGGAGAATATCCGGAAGGAAAACCTGAATTGGATCTGCCGCCTGGTCCATCATACATTGATGGTGGCGTTGGAGGAGCGTTGTAGTACTGTTGAGATGGGGCAGAACCTGGAGGTGGATGAGAAGGTGGTTGACGAGGAGGGTTTGGCGGGTAAGATTGCTGAGGGTAAGGTGGTTCCTCCGGGTTGTAGCCTGACGGGTGTTGGAGCTGAGGAGGCGGTTGTTGCGGGTATTGTGGCTGTTGAGGAGGTGGCTGGTAAGGGGGTTGATGCAATGACTGGGTTGGTGGAGGAGGTTGATAAGGAGGCTGGATTGTTGGAGGTGGCTGGGACTGACCAGACGGAGGGAAATAAGGCTCTTGTTGGGGAGAGAACTGGTTAGGAAGCTGAGGCAGTTGTAATGAAGGTGGTGAGAGACCGTGCTGTGAGGCAGGCGGTTGGATAAATTGTTGTGGTGGGAGGCCCTGCTGAGTAAGAGACGGGGGAGCTGCAGCAGAAGCTGGTGGCTGAGGCAGAGATGCAGGCGGCTGAGCAGTGGGTTCAACATGTGTAGAGTGTGTCTCCGGCTGCTGGTTTACCTTTGATAACTGGAGCTTTGAAAGTTGAAGCTGCGCCTCAACTATTTCTTGTTTGTCCTTCAACAACTGTACACCGTTTTGCACCTGAATGCAATCATACAAAGAAGGAACTGAGGAATCTAGGATCTTGATAGATGATATAGCGAAAAGTATGAAAGCTCAGATGCATTGAAACATGAAAAATATGAAACCAGAAACTTGTTTGACGTTAACAGATCAAGAATTCCCAGGCCAGTCAAGAAATGGCATCCAAAACCAAAAGGCAGAGAAGAACGTTTGTCTAGTATCTCAGATTCATGTGATTATTTCTAATTTCAAATTAATGTCCATTAGGTATCCCAAAAGAGTAGAGTACCTCTAACATGATGTTTTCAAGCTGTCTCAATTTACCATCAGTTTTTCCATGACTGTTCCCAACAGAAACTTTCACATCATCAACCAAATTCTCGAGATCTCGGGTTCTGGTCTCCAGCTGCGTTAGACGTGCACTGACACCTTCCATAACATGTAACAATTTATCAGCATGGGCCTTCATTGTCCGATCGATCGCAGATATAATCGCTGACTCGGGGGAATTTCGATCCTTCTCAGCAAACAACTTTGAAGGTTCGAGAGAGTCCATAGAGCCATAACTCTGAAAGAACGAACAAATGCAACAAGTAAGGCTAAGTGTGATAATTGTCATAATCCTAACCATGCAAGCATCAAGCAAGGTTTAAGCAAACATTATAATGTAGAAAACAGATAAGCAAATGATCGTTGTTACACAAAGTCTCTGCTTTCAACTTCACACGATGATAAATGTAAGCACAGTGAAGAATAACACAGAGCCGAGCTTGGGAACAAGAACCAGAACTAGTACATATCTTCTAAACCTAAAGAAACCTTAAGAACCGATTCTAATAAGCCAAATAACGTATAATCGTGATTAACTAGTGAAGCCAACAAACGAAGCTAGATTGATCGCAAATCACAAAGACCGGGAGATATAGGAGAACTTAGAAATATTACTCTTGCGGAAGAAGCTGAAACCGGTTTAGGATCAGACGCATCCCAAACCCTAGCAGCCGTGGAATTAACAGATCCGGCGAGATCTAAAGCGTGGTGAGACAATCCGGCGGAGGCATTAGGGCGCATAGGTTGGAAATCATAGCTAGGGAAGATAGCTTCCTTCTTCGATTCCAATCCATTATCGCCGACACGGTAGTTCTGATGATCGCCGTCTTGTGAATTGTTGCTGTTGTCGTTCATGAGATCCATTATCTGCTTATCCGAGAACAGGGCCGATTTTATTAGATCGAAAGATTGCATTATATAATTTTTTTAGTCTCCCTTGATTTCGATTTTATATGATTTTCTAACTTCCTGATGAAATAATGTCATCATTTTTCATCGGTCTTGTTGCTTTTTCTAAGTCAGCATTTCAACTAATTGCTGAAGCCAGTTGGGCCTACTAACTTAAATTGGCCCATAACTATTTACTTTCTGCAACGATGAAATCTCAAACACAACTCGATGGAGGGACAAAAGAAGAACCAGCAGGATTTTACTGCAGTTACGACTTTGAGAACAACTTAAAACATGACTAACTCAAAAGTCTTTACACTGTGATTGGTGGGATACGCCAATCCCTTGCAATAGTGTGAGCACAAATAGCAAGCTATTTTGATGGCTCACTCCCTCAATAAATTGAGTTAATATCGTGTGAACCGATGGTCCACATATCAGATATTAAACTGATAAGAACAGATACTACACTTGATCTTAGCCAAAAGGCCGAGAAAGGTATGCTTAGGTAAGTAAATCGTGATCCTTTTTATAGCAAAACTTTGCCTTTGGTTTGCAAATACACTTCCGATGTGGGACTTGTTTAAGCTGAACACTTGATGGAAAGTTACTCGTAAGTCATTTATTGAGGAATACGTTTAAAGATTAAAGATTGAATGTTGAGGAAAATTAATTTATTGAGAAAATTTTCAAGTTATTGATTGATAGAGTTAATCTCAGTAAGAGACAACCCTCCAAAAATAGGCGTATGCCGCTTGGTACGACAAGCACACGGTATTCTTTAGTAAAAGGCGAAAGAATAGTTCGCTATGTGCTTATTGCACGGCTCCGTGAATTTTCTTCGAGAGCTCTCTCCGTTTTATATATGCCTTGAGTTTGTTATTCTTCTCTCTGTGTTTACGATGTGGGACTAAAACCAATATATGCAAAATTTACGCGCTCTCTTTTGTCACAAAGAATATGGGCTTTTATTACTTTTCCCCACTCTCCATGCAAGTTATTAAACAAAATTGCTAATATGGGCTTTTGTAACTTTGCCCCACTTTTCGTAATTGTGAGGCCACTTTGATCTAAATTTAGAATATGGGGACTAGGGACCATAGAGAAATTTTAATACTACCATAGAAAGTTCGGAAATTCTGCTAGTACAAAACTCGCCGTTGTACTTTCAGAAAAGTACAATGATGATGATTTTCTTCTTTTAATCAAGTTTGCAGTACACATGTCCGAAGTTTTTTCTTGTACTATCCCAAACATAATGAATGCCACATAACTTGCTCGTGTACTACACAATTGTTGTGGTGTTATTGTGTACTACCCAATCCATTCATTGTCTGTGTATTTATAGTTTCCAGCATGTTTGAGACAAACCAAAACTCAAAATGTAATAACAAGAAGATATCAATATATCATGAAGGTAGTGGATCTCGACAGGGTTGATATGAGAACACACGAGTAATCAACGGCTGTAATGACGCTACGTCATTGTTACAGCTCTCGTTTTCATGTGTTCTCAGGTCACCCCTGCTGAGCTCTTTCTCTACCGTCCATCTTTTATCAAGGCTGGCTTTTACTCATTTACCAAATGGTGTAAGTTTCTATGTAAATTCGTCATCGTAAGTATTACAGATGAAATGAAATCACAGTAGTACAATTGTACAAACATAGTAACTCTTGGTTATCTTACGTACCTATGTGTAATATATGCTTTAAATGGTGAAGGATCTACTTATTGTCATGCTCTTTGCCCTCTAACAAGATAGTCTGCCAAAGAAATAGAGGAAGTAAAGAAACCCACAATGAGTTCATCAAAATGTTTGTGATGTTAGTTTCTTAGTTTAAGCTATGATAGTCAAAGAAAAGTTTACTTCACGGAGTAGGCGGAGAGCGGCGGGACGAGTGAACTTCCTGGCGAAGAGGAAGCACGGTGATGGTTTCCCTTTACTGCTACACCATTCTCGCCGGTATTCAGTCTCGTAGTTGATATTGTCGATTCCCTGAGAATCAATGTGTTTAGTTAGAGATTCTATTTATGTTTTAAGTTTGTAAGAGGGCTAAAGCCATGGCAAGAAAAAAAGAAAAAGAGATACATACATTGTAATGGATAGTTTCATTTCTACCAAATAAAATGTTGGTCTTACGGATGCTTACCTTAATGGACTGTATAAGATCAGGAGTAGCATCAGAAAACTTGTAAGTCATAGGATGCCATCCACGACGTTCATTACTTTTCGAGGATGAAAGGTCCCAAGCTGAGTGTGTCAGTGATCTTCGTGTGAGTTCGCTATCTACACCCTTTTGCTGAAATTTGAAGAAGCATTACCAGATTTGATTAGTAATACTATTTATTTCTAAACAACAATTCACATGGTTGGATCAAACATTGATCTTACAGATAGCAATGTCTGAACATAGTGCTCATCAGGTATACAGTTGTGTTCCTTCCAACCTTCAGCTGGCTACACAATAAGATTACATTAGTACAACACATCGTGTCCTGGTCATCAAACTGTAAATGCCTGCCAGATTCTACAGAGTAAAACATGTAGGAATCGAATGGGCATGAGCTAACGGGCAAGGAGGAACTGTTAATAACTTAATACGGTGCGGTAGTTAAATATGTGACCAGAGAAAAGCAACTTACTACAGGACGATCTCGCCAAAACTCTGGAAGTGATTTTCTCTGCAAGATCATATGCAAAAAAAAAAAGTGAGCCAACAGTGAAGAGTCCACTAACAAAGCAACTCTCACAATAAGACACTAAAATCTAAAATCAGTGGTTCTAACTTCTAAGTCTCTCTTGGCAGCTAAACCATCTTTCCTTTGAAAATTAATGAGTTAAAACAAAAAGCATATATCCCTCTTTACAGTATCACACTATAGAGGACAGCTCATAAGTTCAGTTACAGTATTAACAAACTTGCTAATGAAGTGAAGGTTTTAACAACTTACCCTGCAATGCTGCTGAAACATAGGAAAGACAGAGGTATCATTCACCACAATTTCTGCGTGTTTTCTATTCAGAACGACCCACTTAGAGAAGACAATGGGGTAAAGAAAACATAGCAGATAATATTGTCAGCTTAACTGCACACATTCAGAATGACAGAATTCGTAGTCATTCAGAAACACATTTTACACAACAAGTGATTTGGAACTTCACCTGTGATCCTTTTCTCCAGTTACGAACAGGAATAATGGGATTCATTCTAGGATTATAACGGCTATCTTTTGTATCTGCAAAGCTGCAATACAGAAAAATATTTAGTAATTTGGTGTCAAAGTTGAAATATGGAGTTATGTAAATAAGCAGCACGGACCTATCAACGAAACTAGTTGGTGTTGACATGATGTAGTTATACGTGTAGCTGAAACTGTACAGAGGTATGCAGCTGAGAAGAAACCAAAAAAACTAAAAAATTCGTTAAGCAAGTCATCAACTACAATCCAAACATGAAAAGGTATTAACAGAATCAATCTCACCTATCAGAAAGAAAAACAAAGCGGTGATTAAATGAATCTCTAAGTGCATGTCTAAGCAATACACGTTCTGCTTCAATCATGGTTGATTCACCCCAATCTACCTGTAATTAGCAAATAAATCATACGACTTATAAAAAACAATGCTGCTAATATCTAAATTGATACATTCTCATAGCAGCAACCTGTATACTGTCATTAAGTTGCCGATCCAAAAAGTACTTGGATCGCGTTGTAGCCTCGTTGAGAACAAATCCAGGTCTAGAATGAACATATATTGAGAACTTTCCATCCTCACCCTGCAGAAGCACATGTCATTATGGACCAAGCTCAAATACGAGAGTCAGTGTTTCTGATCCCAATTAGAGGAGGAGGAGGAAGAGAAGAGTATATACCTTAAAGAAAGCATCCCAGACAAACTCGAGAGGGAGTCGATTCCGGGCAATGAAGAGGAAGGCAATCTGTGGTCTCTGATCTAGACGAGGCTTTTTAAGCGAATCGAGAGACGCAGAGATTCGATTGAAACGAGCTTGTATAGATGCGAAACGAGCTTGTATAAATACGAAAGTCCCAAAGCAGAAAGCGAACATCAACGTGGCGTATACCTTCCTCTTCCATCTGTACAGTAACTTCTGCTGAGACACCTTCTTCTTCATTTTGGATCCACACAGAAAATCGCGCTCAAGTCAATTTTCCCGCCATTCGTCTCCGGTACACGCAGCTTCGAGTCTCTTTATTTCTATCGGTCGCGCGTCTCTGGTGAAACTAGAGCTGTTTCGAGGCAATTCAACTCTCGATCTCTGGAGACGAACCAGATCGAACATGGAAGAATCTTCTTCAAAATCAGTGGAAGATTTACCGGTTGATTGAAGAGAACTCCAAGGAAGATGGCGTCGAACGCAAGGGAGAGTAATTACCGGAAAGGTTTGGTGATCGGGAAGACAAATCACGTGGAAGAAGATGAGCTTTCAGCTTTCACAGAGGAGACTTGGAGAGTGAGAAAGAAATAGAGGTGCTGGTGAGTGTGTAAAATCAATGAGTAGAGCTGGTGAAGTGGGCCTCTCTCTCTGATTTTTTCTTAAAGCGAACACTTCCCACTGGGATATTTTAAGCCCGGTCCAATTCTTACCCAGCAAATTATTATTTTATTCTTTTCGTTAACTATTTTTTTAACAGAATTCAAAATTTACAGAAAACTGGTTCGTGAAATAAATATCACAGTAGTGTGAAATAATAAACAAACACGTGAGGGCATCTTTGGAACACTTCCTAGTACCTCTTTGACGTTCCAACTAGTACAAAACTCGCCTTTGTACTACTGTCAGAGAAGTACAATGTTGATTTTTTTGTAAATCAGTTTCGCAGTACACAATTCTGTAGGTTTTTTTTATTGTACTAAAGAAAACGTATATGAATGCAACAAATCGTTGGCCCGTTTGTTGTGTTGTGTTGTGTACTACAATTTGTGTGGTAATATTGTGTACTACACAATCCTTTCATCATTTGTTGTGTTGTGTATATATAGTAGCTCTCAGCAGATTTGAAGGATATCGAAACTCAAACTGTAACAGTCCTTTTATTACTGGTTTAGAAGATAGATAAATATTGTTAAGGTAGTGGATCTCGACAGGGTTGATATGAGAACACACGAGCAATCAACGGCTATAACGACGCTACGTCATTGTTACAGCTCTCGTTTCATGTGTTCTCAGGTCACCCCTGCTGAGCTCTTTCTCTACCGTCCATGTTTTATCAACGCCGTGGCCCGTGGCTTCTATTCATTTACCAAATGGTGTAAGTTTCTATGTAAACTCGTTATCTTTAGTATTACAAATGAAATCACAAGTAGTACAAACGTAGAAACTCTTGGTAATCTTACGTACGCTTTGAATGATGAAGGATCTACTTTAATTTTCTTGCTATTTGTTCTTTTTTAACAAGAAAAGAAACAGAGGAAGAAAGAAACTCACAATGAGCTCATCAACACGATTGTGATTTGTCAGAGTCACTTTGCCTATATT